AGTCCTTCAGGGTCATTAAAGGTCGTATAAACAGTGTGTCAAATATGTTCTTTAATCCTTAAGTGGTGAAGTGAAAATGTAATTAGGTAAACTAATTGTTTAGCATTATTTACGTAAGAAAACATCGAAATAAGCAAGCATCACTTCGAGTGACTATCGAATACAATTAAAATATTCTAAAAATATTTATGGGGTTCTTCAGACCCCACCATATCAGAAAAGGGTTAATAATCTTTATTATTTTATTGTTACATTAGAATAAAGGATTGAGTAATTTGATGTTTCTCCAATAAACACAAAACTCCAAGAGATGTTCCACCCCCTGATAGCGTTGATTTAAACCATCCAATTTATCAAAGTGTCGGAGTGTTATACAGTACGTCGAAGAACTTTTAATTAATTGAGCAATTCTTCGCTATAGTTCAGATCTCAGGTCTAGATAGGCAATCTAAATGTCAAGGTTGGAGTGTGAAGTTCACGGTAATTCTATGCAAGTTCTACAGGCAACAACAATCCGCCTAAAATTGTGCTTCCAAAACGTTGAACTCGATTAACATATATTTACTTAATAGTTATTCAAAATCTTAATGAAAAATACTTTTCCTTCTGAATTTTTTACTTATTTTTCTCAGTAAATTCTTCTTGCATCTTGAGCTTATAAACAAACCTGACGCAAAGCATCGACACCTATACAGTTGGTCACAAAAGTATTTGGTCACCTTTGGCATTAAGCCAATCAGGCGTAAAATTGTAAGTAGGTTCGCAAAGAAAGAACTATATCAGAACCTATTTTTAATAAACATTCATATTTACAATAAATGATTTTACTTTTACAAATAATTATGTTTACAATCAATGTTCATTGACAATAAGTCGATAGAGTTGTTTCTTTGCAAACCTACTTACAATACCACAGAAAATTGTTTAATGCTTAAGGTGGCATAATATTTTTGTGACGAATTGTTTGTTCAGAGAAACAGAGAATCCACGCATTTCGTTAATTGACCACTCTGTGAAATTCCAGGATTTCGTATCCGAGACCTCCCGATAACAAAGCTCTACCGTCAGCCTTCGAATCGCCAATCTCTCACGATTCAAACAATTCGCCGTGAATTTACGTCGTTACGCGATCACAGATTAATTAGTATCGATATTTATCCTGTTGCGGTGAGACGGAACAATCGAATCTGTTCCCTACAATGCCTCTCATTTCGTGTTTGATATCTGGCCCCCTGTGTGTCTGTCGACGTTACCACAGGCGTTTCGCGTAATTCATTTGTCAAGATCTTCATCGATAACCGATATACAATCAATTAATAAGAATTACTATCTAAAATAACTCATTACCTATTACTTGTATCAAAAAACGTTTTAATGAATTATGTATCCCTAATCATCGTTCAACCTAACGTTCTTAAATTTCGAACAATTCACGCAAAAGTACAGTAAATCCTCGATAAGTGTCCGAAAGCTCCTCAACAATAACAAGGAAAGGTTCCCAAATGTAACGTTGACTTTTTAATTAGCTTCAGTGCAGTGATAGAGCTTGGAATTCTGAAACCAATGATATTTGTTTCAGCCGCATAGGACCATTAGTTTATAAAATATTTCATATTCACTGCCTAGATACCTTCGAACACTCATCGAGAATTTAGTGTAAACTGACGTCACATTAAAGTCGAAAGATCTTCATTTGGAAGAAAATTTCGTGACAGGGACGTGGCGCAACACGTAGAAATTGGGTTCCGATCGGGTAATTGCGTTAGGTGTTGACTGTTCAAGGTCACGGCGCGTGGGTTCCCCCTCCGCGGTGTCTATTGACCCCTCCCACCGCCCCACCCACAATTTCTCAGTCGCCCCCCCCCCCACCAGCCACCGTCAAACACGAAATTGATGATTTAACCGCGTCCAAGACAGAATGATTGGTCGTCCTCGCGTGCAAAACTGGCTCTTCGGGGTTCACTTTGGATTCAAGGATGTTACCGTTTTTCCCGTTGTGTCACGTGTTCCGAAACATTATAATACTATGTGTGTGTGCATCGACTAGCCTTCACCTTTTGTATTTTACGCGCGCGAACCCTGTGATCCAGTTTCAATGCTCGCCCTTTTCCACGAGAACACGTAACTATATCACGAGCGAGTAAACTCTTCGGCGGAATACAAGTTATTTCTTCCAATTATCGAATCGATTCAGGTTCAATTTGCTCGTCTTTCTGTATAACATCGGGATGTTTCTTTCGCTGTATTTACTGTAAGAGCAAATACTTCTTACGGCCATTTTGTTCGTCACGATTGTAGGGTAAGTGAATCAATTACGGACAGATTATTGGATTCGCGAGCTTGTTGAGAAATAACAAATTATTGATGATTGACGTTGAATTTTGACGATCCTCCGGCGATTCAATGAACGCGGACAGTGTGTTCGTTTCGCGGGCAATTAGCTTGTTAAACGGGCAAACGAGTTAGCCACCTCTGTAAATTCGAAAACAACCCCCGGCTGTATAATGTGCACGAGTTAATAGCGTTTAAGCAAAGTTCGAAAATTATATACCCCTCCCAGGGGTGGCTGTGTGTTTTTTCCTTTTTTCTTTCCTATGTTACAATATTGTACTTCAGTTTCACTTTTACGGCCTCACTCGCCGTATATCCCGCGGCCCCGTCGTTAAAGTCGACAAAACAGAGGCATAACGCGACGGGAATTTGCATATTTATAAGGTTGTCGCTAGATGGATTCGACGAAATTATTCAAGCTCGAATCAACATAATCTAATGCAAAAATCGGAATAAGTCGAACCTCATTTATTCGCTTCGTTATAACTTTTACCCTCGATCCTTTCGATAATAAAAGCGTTGCGATTCACTTGACGTATACTCGCGAGATTATGCTTCCTTATTCGCGAAACAATGCATTGTTAATCAACGGTGGTTGAAATAATAAAAATGCAAAAATTCATCCGGGCCATATGGGACTCCGAGGTCGTCACGCATTTGCACATTTTATGCATTTATTGTCAATATCCAAAACAGAATGTAATGAAATTTTGTCGTAAAAATCGGTATGAATTTTATTTTACAGTGGGATCTTATAAAACTTTTAATAGTTGGAAGAAATGTAGATTGGTAAATTAACCTATAGAAATTTGTAATTGCATAATAATCGACGATCCAGCTATAAGCACATGCGACCCTGTCGCTCGTGTGTTAACCTTCTTGGTACACAGTCGCTCGTCACGTAGCATGATTCATTCGCAGAGGGCAATTCAGACGTCCACTTTTTGTCATTACATGGAGATCATTGCGTCTTTCTGGTCAGTTGAAAATATTAGTCAACTAAACGCGATCTGTAGTGTAAATTAATTCCTGAAGTATAACACATACTAATGCTTTAAGTTGATGTTAAAAAAATAATAAAAATAATACAAATAGAAAGAGTGGTAACTTTTCAGTCCGCCACGGTATAAATCGATTTAACATAAAATAAGAAGAAAACAAAATTTTTTGTTGGTTCTTCGTCTTGCACTACTTTCATAATCACCGATAGGGACCTTGTGTTAGTATCCTTCGAGAGGTTCGAATCGATATCACACACAGCCTCTTATAAATAGTTTTCCCTCGATAACTGCGCGCCGCTCTGGAGCACGAATAAGATCGAAAAGATAACTGGAAATGATTTTGTGGTGGTATCACATGCGGTAACGACATCAATCCGATCAGAAAAATCTCCACAAAGCGCGTCTGTACAGAGAAAAATATACTTGTTCGCCTTCCGTTCTACGCAAGAGATCCATCCGTCGACCTCAGTCGACGTTCGTTCGTCGATTACAGTCCAATGATCGTACCGAAAAGGTTAAGGAGAAGGAACTTGTTCGGTTTCCCTGAGCGCTAACCTCTCTCCCGATAATTATATTAGCCGGACAAAGAGGAAGACAAAATGACGAAAAAGAAGGATAGAAAGAGACAAACGATACCCCCGTCTTTAGGAAGCCCCTTTGGTGCTCAGATTGTCCCTCTCTTTCTACCACGCTGTGCACTCTATTTCCTCATACTTCACCCTCTCCTTTCCCCTGAAGGCCCGTCTGCACGTTCAAATAATTTCTGCGAACTTCCTTGTGCATTGTACGTGTTCAGTCTATCTTGCACAGTAATTCTATATACATATAAAGAATAAACTGTAATTATAATTGGTTATTACAAATTACATAATAAGTAAAAGTATTTACTTGCGGCAAATGTGAATGCACAAGGCAGTTTGCGCAAATCATTTTAACTTGTGTAATCGGGTCTTAACTCAGCTGTTCTCCTCGGGTCAGTATTACCCGAAATGAAGATTGTGGTATATTAGACAAGTGCAGAAATTCCTATATTCTATAACTCGATAAACTGAACAAACTCAAATTTTTTTAAAGTGTGTTTATCGATGCATGAAAAGTATTAAAAAAATATCGTTACTCATAATACCGATACGAAAATCCTATAAATTTACCAATTAATTCAATACAAAAAAATATTATAAAATAAAATTGTTGCATAGTATGAAGGAATTATTTACATTAAGATTCAAAGTATCGAAATGAAAACAAGTAATCCATTTTTCAAATAATATTTATTATTACAAAACATACATAAAAAGCTTATCAATTCTAATCGTCTAAAAACAAACGGGTTAAAAAAAATAATTGTCGAAGATGTTGTATCGATAAATGGTTTCACATTCCGATCAAAGTTAACACAGCTCGAGAAAAGTCTCCCTGACGTCGCGATTACTATTGTATTTATTCTTTCTTCAAGCAGCTTTCTTTTTTGTAAAAAAAAAATATCGATATTTTGACACAAAATGATCAGTACCTGTTTTTATTAGTTTCTAAAATATCGATAAATATCGCCCATCACTACCTCGAACCACGAACGCCACAAGTTCTATCCCCCCTCCCAACTCCCCCCTCCTCACAAGCCAACAGCTTTCTCCGTGTATCGTTGGCGGCTGCCGATAGGCGATAGCGGCGGCGGGTACCTGGCGAACGGCTGGAGAACGCCTCGCGACGTCAGTCTGTGCTCTCCGTTTCCCGCTGGCTGCGTGAATTTCCTCTCCTCTGACCGTGGAATAATCAAGTGTACGTGTACATGTGTTCTTAGACGTCTCTCCTCGTGACTCTCTTCCCCTCTTCCTTCCTCCTGTCTTTTTATTTTCATTCTTTCTCCCATACAGTCTCCCACGACCGGTCTACCTGGTCCTCGAACCCTGTACATATTCCTATTTCCTTTCGTTTCTCGTCGTCTTCGTGGTATCTTCTGGTTCCCTTCGGTTTTTCCGCCTGGTTTCCTCGTGGCCGCCCGTGTGTAATCGGTGTGTAAGCGTTCTTATCCGGGGTCCTGCTGGCTGGTCAGTGTCGATTCGATGTTCGGCTTGGGAAGCAGAAAGGTGCTCAAGTACTCGGCCATCGACACGTCCCTCTCCATAGACGTCGAGGACACCGTCACGTGCTTCTGCAGGTCAGTCCTTGGTATGGCACCAGAGATGGGCAAATTCATTACTTCTGTATGAAGAGTTTCGAATGATAAATAAAAGATAGGAAAAAGGTACTTCGTTGTTTTAAACGTTGAAATTGCAATTATTTAAATAATATTACTGCTTGAATGTGTAGACACTTGGCAGACAATTATTTAATTGTGTTAACTGTTTGAAGGTCAGGATGACGATTTGAGATACTGCTGGTTTTCGTTGTGTTGTTCGAATAAAATTGTGTCCAACTCTGGTGTGTACACCTGCGAGCAGAGATTGATTGCGATAGGTGGTGGACCTGCTTGTAAATATATAAGTTCCTTTTGGTTGGTGGGGCCAGTTCTGCAATCCCTGGGATCGTATTTTGGAATAGACTGGGCTAAAAGGAAGATGATTTTTGGAGGATATTGTGTAGAATAGGAAAAGTGACATTCTTTGATGATCATCCATATGTTTCTGGACACGCTGGTTTTGCTATAGCAGTGGCCATCATATGTAAATATATGTATAGTACGTGAAATCGATGAAGTGTTAAAGTAAACCTTTTGACATAATTGACAAGAATTCACTGGAACTTCGTTTATATGAACAAAATTTTAGTATAGTGCTTGATTTACTGAACTCTACCTCTAACTCCGTTCGAACGAAAAATCATAGGTGGGGAAAAAATAGGTGGACTCCTATTCTGTCTACGACCTGGTTATACCAATCAACTTGTTCTATTGTATTAGGAGACAAGGTCCAATGTCGTTTTTTACTCTGCGAAATCCTACGACAGAATGCAGTAGGTACAGTAAATCGTCGATGAGTGTTTGAAGGTTCCTCGGCACTGAAGATTATGAAAAAACAATAATCATTCCACTGGTGTGAAAAAGAACAATTTCACAATTATTTCAAATGATTAGTAAATAAAAACTAATATTTCAAATAATATCATTTCAGACGTGATCACAGGCATGGAAGTAATTATAAAATAAAATAACATATTATTTGAAATAATATTTCAAATAATATCATTTCAGAAGTGCCCAGGTCTGTTTCAAACACTCATCGAGTATTCACTGTACAGATCCCTAAGAACTTTAATCGACGACTTTGTTATATCGTGGTCGGTACTATACTCAACTATATCGTACCTTCGAGGTGTACACCTGCTATCTTACCACGTCGTTCATCTTGGTCGCGAGAAGAACACCGTGCGTTCTCTGGAACGTTGATCACTCGAGAGATGGACTTTCTCTGTGGGAAAGCCGAACCTGTTGGTCGATCACGGGAAAGATTCTACGCGTTTCGCGTCACACGAGGCGACATCCCCGTAGTATTTGTCGCAAATGGAATGTTGGTTCACCTTCGTGACCAGAGATCTGTCGAAATAAAATCGTACCGACGTCGAAATAAAGCCCACAGGGAGAAGCTGGCGCGAGCGCACGGATGGTCTCTATCCGTGTACACGTTTATAACCAATTCTATTTTCGCTCGGTTTCCCCGCCGGGAAATTAATTGTCGGAGGTCACGGAACATGTTAATCGACCGATGGGATCTGTCGATTGGTCGGATTTAATCTGTTGCGTAATCAACAGGTGATTTAGTTGTTCCGTGTTAGGTATGACTCACGGGCGCGGCGCAAGGGAAATTACACTACGTTTCGTTTACAAAGATCGCGTTAATCTGTATACGGAAAATGGTGTCGTGAGAGTTGCATTGAGTTTTCGTTCCAAGAAGGATGTTCCTTTCAATTATCTGGATGCAAGTACATCGAAAGATAATTACATACGTCGAAATCGATTTATTCCAGTGTATGTGTAGCTTTCTGACAGTGGTAGATTAGGGTATTGTGGTCGAAAACTCTTTATGTTCATGTATACTTGTTTAACCCTCGAATGGTAAGGTGGGATTTAAAGGTCGTTCTCGATAAGTTGAGGTCGCATCTGACACGACCTCTTTTTTGCTATTTTCAGACAGGAAAAAAAAAGTTATTATTTTGAACTTGTATTTTTGTTTATTTATATAACAAGGAATAATAATTGAGTTATATAACATATGATAATATATGTATTAAATGTTTACTAAATAATAAAAAATATTTTCAAACGAGAATAATAAAAAAAGTAAAGAATAGAGGGTTCACTCTTTGACGCATAATGGTATGAAAAAATTGCAATTGTTCGATGTTGTATGTTGGGCTGTAATGTTCAGAAAAAGCTACAGCAACCATTAATATCAGTAAGTTGGAATCTCTCGCGGACTCGTTTAATCGAGCAGAGTGCCAACTGTACAGGATGAAGTAGTTTTTGCCAGGATTCTCCTTTTTCTGGAGGCACAGTTTATTTCTCGCCAAGAAAAATGGTGATACTATATTACGTTAAATTGTACTATATATTGAGTATATTACTATATAAATTTACACGACAATTACTTTAAAAACAAAACAAGATTGAAGTTTGTCGATGGTACAAAAAACTGAAAATTGACGCAGATGTGACATGTGCCCCGTTTCCATTGAACTCTTCAATTATCTCGTTGAACAATGGTTTTCAAGCATAAAAGGCAGCCTGGTGTTCGTGATGGTTGTTAAAAGAAGTCGAATTTTATTGCGTTCCCCGTCATGTAGCTAGGAGACCGTTTACCAGGTGATGTTTGAACAAACTGATAACAAACGAGAGACCATTTTCGAGGCGAGGGCTGAGACAATGTGCAAACAAATGGTACCATGTAGGAATTAAAGTCTTATCGGTTCACCTGTTACGTGCCCACATAAATCAGCTGGAGGGGGGGGGGGGGACTTGAAACATGTCGATTACGAAAATTGCGATGGCATTGGACGCAGTACGTGATTGTACGATTTTTTTGTGTATACAAATTAAAAATGTTTTGACGGAGTCATAAATAACTTCCGTTTTCCTTTCTTTGGGAGAAATGCTTCAGACCCTCGTAAATTCATTTTTTGGGCAACAAAGTATGTGCTTGACAGGTGTCACGACCTCGGCCCTTCCAGTGGTGAGGATAACGCCTGGACAATAATCGCGTAGAACAGGCCAGACGATAATCGAGAGGAGTCTGTATACAGTTTAATTTTCGTATTAAATCGTTGATATTTAACCTCTTCAGGGACGAATTTATTAGGACCAGAAAGAAATCGGCTGTATTTAGTTAAAATATATTTACAAATATTAACGACAATCAATTGGTATCATATCTTTTTTCGTTAGGGAATTTCTTAGTGAATATTTAATTATCGATCCAAGCGAAATTTCGTTTATTCCCGGACAGTCCTCCGAATTGTTATTTTTACCGAGAACAGTTTTAGTCATTCGACTTAACGAACGGCTGTATAATGTAGTATAAACTTTGTCAAGTATTCTGGAAATTTTGTAGATTTCTTGAAAGTTCAGAACAGTCTGAAAAAACATCAGATTTGACGGTAAACCAGACTCAGTTTGCCTACGGAGGGGTTTAAATGAATCCGTAAGATTTCGAAAGCAAAAGGAACCACGCGAAATCTGTCCGAGTACGATTGATCTAAACCGAGATTCTCTATTTCTGTCGAATTTAAAAATGGAATTGAAACGTATTTAACGTGACAAGCCGGATACCACCACCGTCAAACCAATAACCCGTGTTCCACGGTTCGATTCCGTCTTTCCTTAGGAATCGTTATTTTTGGATTTCGAAACGGGCAATTCGAGAAACGTGTACTGTGTAACGTGCGAGAGTGTGTGTTATCTGAAGACAATAACGATACAAGGCGTGCGCGTGTTTGCCTTGTCATTAGCAGGCATCGAAGTGGAATGAGTGATATACACGCGAAACACTGTACGCACAATCAGCGAGCTATTTTTACCTGTTACGAGCTAGTTCGGAACAGTAGACTTCCATTCGCTCGTAAATAGACTCCAGATGTCTGTTGGAAACATAGATTATTATGAATTAACTCACGTGAACTGGAATCGAACAGATATTTCAGTTGTTCATTTGCCAATGTGATTAACTCCACGAAAACGAGTAAAGAAAATTAATAAAATTATATGATGAAGTACCAATCAAGTGCTAATTGGTCTGTGGAAGTTGAAAAACTTCCAAAAGTTTCGTCATTTTGGCCTGAGAACACGGGGGCTCGTTTCCTTCACCCTTGAGGATTTCTTTAGAAATTAAGTAATAATCTTATTGAACTTGATTAACACTCAGACCACAAAAACCGTCAAAATGACGGATTTCTACTTTCTGATTTACAATTACTTAGATCACGAAAGTGCTTTTGTCGAAATTCATATTGACTTTTAGTTTATTATACATTTTATATTATACTATATTATAGTATATTTTGTAATATACTATATATATCAATTAATATTACACAATTTAATTTCGGATATATTTGACGTTGGTAGTTCCGGTATCGATTTTTAGCCTAATCGTGTACTTCATAAATCTACCAAATTCTAACAGCCAACTCGTTAAGCCGCGTTTCCACTTGTCAAAAATCAACAACTCGATCAGAAACTGTAATCAAATATTCGTTCATCTCCTTGAGGATTTCATTAAAAACTATATAAAAACCTCATTAAACTCCTCTGTTTCGATTTTCAGACTAATCGTGTATTTCATAAATCTACCAAATTCTAACAGCCAACTCGTTAAGCCGCGTTTCCACTTGTCAAAAATCAACAACTCGATCAGAAACTGTAATCAAATATTCGTTCATCTCCTTGAGGATTTCATTAAAAACTATATAAAAACCTCATTAAACTCCTCTGTTTCGATTTTCAGACTAATCGTGTATTTCATAAATCTACCAAATTCTAACAGCCAACTCGTTAAGCCGCGTTTCCACTTGTCAAAAATCAACAACTCGATCAGAAACTGTAATCAAATATTCGTTCCTCTCCTTGAGGATTTCATTAAAAACTATATAAAAACCTCATTAAACTCCTCTGTTTCGATTTTCAGACTAATCGTGTATTTCATAAATCTACCAAATTGTAGCAGCCAA